TATTTTTCTAAATTCCTTGATGGCAGCTTCCCCCTCTCTATCACACACACTCACTTCCCTACCAGCCTCACCTGCTTTGGGCTGTGCTGAGTTTCGGTTCCAGGCCACACCAAAGCTGCTAATTCCGCAGGTGTTAGCTTATGTGACTTCAATTAGACGTAATTCCACTTGCTGACATATCATAATGGCCAGTGATTGTTGCACATGAGAGATAGCTAGGTAGTTCTTCTCACTTGAGATGAGAAACAAGCAGTTTTGTTTTGTTGTTGTTTTTGTTTGTTTTGCAGAGGCCAAAGGGAGAGTGTCGGGCTTTATCAGCAAGTTTTGTTCTCGCCAGCACCTTTCCAATCAACTGGCAGATCTGTCTTCCATGTGGGTGGACATGTAAGTGAACCGAGTGCTTTGAATTGCCTTACAAATAAGAACAGGCCGGCGCCGTAGCTCACTAGGCTAATCCTCCGCCTGTGGCGTTGGCACCCCGGGTTCTAGTCCCGGTCGGGGCGCCGGATTCTGTCCTGGTTGCCCCTCTTCCAGGCCAGCTCTCTGCTGTGGCCAGGGAGTGCAGTGGAAGATGGCCCAAGTCTGGGGCCCTGCACCCCATGGGAGACCAGGGAAGCACCTGGCTCATGGCTTCGGATCAGCGTGGTGCGCCGGCCGCAGAGGCCATTGGAGGGTGAACCAACGGCAAAGGAAGACCTTTCTCTCTGTCTCTGTCTCTCACCGTCCACTCTGCCTGTCAAAAAAAAAAAAAAAAAAATTAGAACAGCAAACACGTGGGGAGGATCTGCCCGCTGCCAGGGTTGTCAAAGGACTTCGCGTCAATCCACTCGGTGATCTCAAAACCCCCGTGAGCACGGGCCCCGTCCTACAAAGGAGAAAACCGAGAAGCTGAAAGCCTTGTCTAAGCCAGGACAGGAGCCCAGGCAGCCTAGCCTCGCTGCTGTGAGTTTTACTACTTAACACCATCCCGCCTTTCATTCAGCCCTCTGTGGATGTCAGCAAAACCAAGCACAAGGAGCAGCACTGCTCTGCCACGCAGCCCGGACAAAGGTTGGATTTCCACACTCGCATGCAGTGCTGCGGTGGTTGGGAGTGGCTCCTGGCAGGGCTGGGGCCAGGTTCTTGTCTTCATGGGAAAAGAATTCAAGAGGAGATCGTGGAGAAAGGCGAGCAGAGAAGCAAGTTATTCTAAGCAAAAGCACACACTCAAGGAACAAGTGCGGGTAAGCTAGAGAAAGAGCTGTTGAGAGCCAGCCTTTTATACTATCGGGAGCCTTGGGGTGGTGTCTGGGGCGAAGAAGGCGGAGCATGGGGCGGACCTTGAGTACCGCCCATTTCCCCGCCCCTTTGTGGAAATCTCAGAACTGTCATGGCATCAGGTGCATCATGGGAGTGGGAGTGCCAGCCGTGGTAATTTTATTACAATGACATAAAGGGTAGCAGCAGAACACAGTCTGTGGCCATATTGGGTATTTCTAGCTGGTGCCGGTTCCAAGCGGTGAAACCTTGGCAGGTGCCGTCTGCACAGAAGGGGTGGGGCTTGGGTGGTCCACGCCGGGAGGCGGTGCCCACCTGGTGACTTCACTAAGGAACCAGAGCATTTTAGAGGTGAGAGAAAATGGACAGACCCCTCCCGTCTTACCTAATTCGTCCCGATTCAGTCCCTCCGAACTAAAGTCTTCTTTCCTTGTTGTGGGTGTGTAATCTCGTCACCCTATCCAGCTCACTGAGTCCACATTCCTAACAGTTTCCATATGAAACTGATACTTTTTAAAATTTATATATACAGTTTTAACAGCATAATGATACTTTCCGCCTGCTCTCTCTCTCTCTCACCCTTCCTCTTCCTTCTTATTTTTCTTTTAATTTTTACTATGACACAATTTCAATTTACTTGATAATCAGAAGCTTAACCCTCCATGAAATAAATTCAACAAGGGGCCAGCACTGAGGCTCAGTGGGTTAACGCCCTGGCCTGAAGTGCTGGCATCCCATATGGGCGCTGGTTCTAGTCTTGGCTGTTCCTCTTCCAATCCAGCTCTCTGCTATGGCCTGGGATACCAATAAAAGATGTCCCAAGTCCTTGGGCCCCTGCACCCACGTGGGAGACCAGGAAGAAGCTCCTGGCTCCTGGCTTCAGATTGGTGCATCTCCGGCCTCTGCGGCCATCTGGGGAATGAACCAGAGGATGGAAGACCTCTCTCTCTGTCTTTACCTCTCTCTGTAACTCTGCCTGTCAAATAAATAAAATAAATATTAAAAAAAAGAATTCAACAAGTAGTAAGTAGAAAAAAACCACTGTTCCTCAAGAATATAGACAAATTCTATAAACAATAATCAAACCTCAAAATGTCAGTTTTGATCATATACATTACACTTTTTTTATACTCTGTATAAATCAGGGAAAATATGATATTTGTCATTTGGGGACTGGCTCTTTTTTTTTTTTTTTTTTTGACAGGCAGAGTTAGACTGAGAGAGAGAGAGAGAGAAAGGTCTTCCTTTTGCCATCGATTTACCCTCCAATGGCTGCTGCGGCTGGCGCACTGCTGCCAGTGCACCGCGCTGATCCGAAGGCAGGAGCCACGTGCTTATCCTGGTCTCAAGGGGTGCAGGGCCCAAGCTCTTGGGCCATCCCCACTGCACTCCCAGGCCACAGCAGAGAGCTGGCCTGGAAGAGGAGCAACCGGGACAGAACTGGTGCCCCAAGCAGGACTAGAATCCAGAGTACTGGCGCTGCAGGCGGAGGATTAACCTAGTGAGCTGTGGCGCTGGCCTGGGGACTGGCTTATTTCACTATGCACAATGGTTTCCAATTGTATCCATTTTGTTGCAAAAGACAGGATTTCATTCTTTTTTATGGCTCCGTAATATTCCAGGGTGTATATATACCACAGTTTCTTTATTCAGTCATCAGTTGATGGACATCTGGATTGATTCCATATTTTAGCTATTGTGAGTTGCGCTGCTATAAACATGGGGGTACAGATAACTGTTTCATATGATGATTTAATTACCTTTGGTTGTATTCCCAAGGGTGGGATGGCTGGATCATATGGTATATCTATTTTCAGATTTCTGAGGAATCTCCAGACTGCCTTCCACATGGTTGTACTAGTTTACATTCCCACTAACAGTATATTAGTGTAGCTTTTCCCCTATACCCTCATCAGCATTTGTCATTTTTTTATTTTTATTTTTAGATGACAGCCATTCCAACTGGGGTGAGGTGAAACCTCATTGTGGTTTTGGTTCACATTTCCCTGATGGCTACTGATCCTGAGCATCTTTTCATGTGTGTATTGGCCATTTGTAGTTCATCCTTAAAAAAATGCTTGTTCATATCTTTAGCCCATTTCTTAACTGGGTTGCTTGTTTTGTTGTTGTTTAGTTTCTTGAGCTCCTTATATATTCTAAATGCTAATCCCTTATCAGCTGTATAATTTGCAAATATTTCTCCCATTCTGTCAGTTGCCTCTTCACTCTATTGAGCATTTCCTTTGCAGTGCAGAAACTTCTTAGCTTGATATAATCTCGCTTATCTATTTTTTGCTTTTATTGCCTGTGCTTCTGGGGTTTTATCCAATCTCTTGCAGTGTTTCCCCTATGTTTTCCTCTAGTAATTTGATGGCTTCAGGTATTAGGTTTGGATCCTTGAGCCACTGTGAGCTGAATTTTATATATGTTGTAGGTAGGAGTCTTATTTCAGACTTTTGCATGCAGAGACCCAATTTTCCCAACACCCTTTTTAAAAGAGATTTTCCTTTCTCCAGGGAGTAATTTTAGCTCATTTGTCAAAGATTAGTTGGTTGTAGGTGCATGGCTTAATTTCTGGGGCCTTTAAGTCTATTCCACTGGTCAACATTCAAAACACAGAGTGGCAGAGAGAAAGAGAGGGAGAGAAGGAGAGAGAGAAAGAGGAAGGAGAAGGGGAAAGAGATCTTCCATCTACTGGTTTACTCCTCAAAAGGCCACAACAGCCAGGGCTGGGCCAGGCTGAAGCCAGGTGCCTGGCACTTTATCCAGGTCTCCCACATGGGTGGCAGAGGCCCATGTACTTGGGCCATCTTCCACTGCTTTCCCAGGCACAGTATCAGGGAGCTGGACTGGGAGCAGAACATTTGGGAGTCAAACCAGTGCTCCCACGCAGAATGCTGGCATCTCAAGCAGCCGTGATGCCGGTACCCAGGACTCTCTACTTGGCCTTTCCAAGCCCATCTAACTTCTTCATTTTTTTTTTTTGAGATTTATTTTTTATTTATAGAGAGAGAAGGAGAAAGATCTTCCATCTGCTGGTTCATTCCCCAGATGGTTTAACAGCCAGGGCTATGCCAAGTCAAAGCCAGGAGCCAGGATGGGTGCAGGGGCCCAAGCACTTGAGCCATCTTTTGCTGCTTTCCCAGGCCATAGCAGAGAGCTGGACCAGAAGTGGAGCAGCTGGGACTTGAACTGGTGCCCATGTGGGATACTGGTGTCACAGGCGGTGGTTTAACCTGCTATGCCACAAGGCCAACCCCCATCTAACTTCTTTTTTTACTTCTTGACTTCTCCAGTCCAGAAAAGCACCACCAGAGCAGGACACTGTATATCTTGCTGCATAGATGTACAATAAACATAGAGCCTAGCACACAGAAAATACCCACGGATGGCTCCTTCTCTGGATTCCAATAGTCCTGACCCACGCATCTACCCACTCACTGTGTTGGAATTATTTTTCAGTGATGCCCACCCACAAATCCCATTTCCTCAATACATGAGGAGCTCTTTGTGGCAGGAATTTCATATTTTATCCCATAGCCAATTCTGGTATTTAAATGAATAACTGGTAAATTTAAATGAATTTAATTTAAATTAATTTATTGAACTTAAATTCAATTTAAATTAATTGAAAATACATTTTCTAATCTCCAGATGTTTGATATCATGAGGAAAATTAAAATGCACAATTTATTTAAATAATCTAAGTGTACTTAAAAACACTTGTGGGGAAAATGGAATTAAATGATGTTTATTTTACTGCAGAAAAAAATTAAAAATCTATGCATGGTTTTGTCATTTTTTATTTCAGATTTATTTATTTTATTCAAAAAGTATAGTTACAGAGAGGCCAAGGCAGAGAGAGGGGGGGGGGGGGTCTTCTATCCATTGGTCCACTCCCCAGATGGCCACAATGTCTGGAGCTGTGCCAATCCAAAGCCAGGAGCCAGGAGCTTCTTCCAGGTCTCCCATGTGGGTGCAGGGGCCCAAGGACTTGGGCCATCTTCCACTGCTTTCTCAGGCCATAGCAGAGAGCTGGATTGGAAGTAGGGTAGCTGGGATTTGAACCAGTGCCCATATAGGATGCCGGCACTGCAGGCAGTGGCTTTACCCACTATGCCACTGTGCTGGCCCTCATGGTTTTGTCATAATACACATTTTACAGGAAATTTTGGGAGACCATGTTTCACAGTGGCAAAAATTCTAAGTCATGTATGTACATAGTATTATGAGGATTTTTTAAAAAAAATTTATTTATTTATTTGAGAGGCAGAGTTACAGACAGAGAGAGGGAGAGACAAAGAGAGATCTTCCGTCTGCTGGATCACTCCTCAGATGGCTGCAAAGGCCGGAGCTGGGGGCTGATCCTTCTGAAGCCAGGAGTTCTTCTAGATCTCCCACGTGGATGCAGGGGCCCAGGTAGTTGGGCCATCTTCTACTGCTTTCCCAGGCCATCAGCAGGGAGCTGGATGGGAAGTTGAGCAGCCGGGACTTGAACCAGCACCCAGGCAGAGGCTTAACCTATTACACCACAGCACCGGCCCCATGAGGATTCTTTTTAAACAATTTCTTTGGAAGGCAGAGAAAGAGAGAGAGGGATAGAGATGGAGATATTTCACCCACTGGTTGATTCCCTAAATACCCACAACAGCCAGGGTTGGGCCACACCAAAGCCAGGAGTCAGGGCCTCCCATCTGGGTGAGAGGGACTCAAATGGCTGAGCCATCGCCTGTTGCCTCCCAGGGTGAGCATTAGCTGGAAGTGGAATCCGGAGTGGATCCTGCACTCCAATCAGCTGCCCAGATACGGGGTACAGTGGGCATCCCAAGCACCATATTAACGGCTGGGCCAAACGCCGGCCCCTGCTGTGAAATCTGTGGGTGGAGCTGTCCATCGCTGGCTTGGGTGTGTTTGCCCTGCTGTCCTCACACCGGCTGTGACATTTCAGCTCTGCCTTGAGGAATGAGCAAGTTTACCAGGAACACAGGAAAAAAAAGAAGGTTGGGGCAGGGGTGCTCTAAGCTGAGGGAACCCAGCTCCAATACAGAAATCGAGAGGTAGGGCCCTGAGCCCCAGTGGGTCTTGTGTGGCATCCACATAGGGCTGGTGACATGGGGAGGCTGCCATGGGGCTAGGACAGTGTGCTGGGCCCGGCAGACTTGTGAGCCTGGATTTTACACCATCAGCAAGAGGGTGGCCAAATCTGGTCTGCGTTTTGCTCTGCTCTTGACATCCTCTTCCACCCTAACCCCTGCCCAGCACAGCGTGTGGACGGGGTAAGCACACGGACCACAGTCAGAGAGGACACAGGACAGACCTGCAGCTTGTGATCATGTTCAGCCAGCCCTGGTGGAGGGAAGTCACACACTGAAGCACAAGTCAAGAATGTGGTCAAACTTACAAAGCTGGTTCCTTGGGAAGGCTGGTATCATTCACATAAAGATTCCTGGCTTCCAGGAAGCCTGCCCTGATTGCCCCAGTCCAAAAGGCGCTCTGCTCTGAAATCTGCCAGAGCACTAGATCTCGCATGTAGGACACTCTGGACAGCTTTTCTTGCATTGCTGTTGTTTGTCCTCAGTTCCAGTACCACATTGTTTAATCCCTCGGTGCCTCATTTTACAAGTTTCTATCTAAAATAATGCAGCTTTAAAAGATACCTTGGGAACACAATAGGGAATAAAGCAATCAAGAATAAATATTGTGAGATTTTAAGTTTCAAAAGGGGAAGGTCATGTCCCACTTATCTTGATAAATCTCACAGCCCTAAGCAAACATATCTGTTGAATACATTGATGTAGAGATAATAATATAGCAAAGTAAAAACAATTCATTGGCTTTTAAAAGAAGCTTGCATTTGCATAGATATTCATCTTGTTTTTTTTTTTTAAATATTAATCTCTCCAAACCATGCCCTGCCCTCTGTGGATGTCTCACTTTCTTCTTGATATGATTTGCGAAAGTTTCATCTCTTACATAGGTCTTTTTTATGGAGAAAAAAAAATCCTTGATTTATTTATCATGCCTATTTTTTGTTTTGCGGTAGAAGAGATATATTTATTTCAGCAAATTACAAAAAATGCAAAGAAACAAAAATATGTGACACTCACTGAGACACAATTCAGTAAAGAACATTAACAGTAATTAGTCTGAGTACAATAAATTATAAAGATCCATTGATCTTTCAAGGGATGAAAGTAACAAGAAACACAAAAATATAGTGAAATATAGCATCATAGCCACTGTAAATGAAACCAGTTCCATAAAGAATTCACAATTTCCACTTGGACATTTAATTGAATTTACTGCCATTTGTAGAACAGACATGGTCTCATGCCAGGGTCACAGGACGACCAGTCCCTTCTCAAGCAATTAAAAGGAGCGCTCACTTCCTGCTAGACATACAGTACTTCAAGGCTAATCTTTAATCTTAATTGGCAACAAATTTAGTGCAAATAAAACTGTATTTAGCAGCTTGGAAAAGTCCTGGCGAGGAGGCAGTCTCTTCCTAACGCTGACAGCTTGCCCCCAGTGAGATCAGTTCTCTGTTGGCAGGAGCAGCAGGCACGCACGGTGGCCATTCCAACCTACTGGAAAGCAGGAAGAGTAAGTCTGTTGTTTGTTTCATGGGGAGTTCCCTGAGGGATGGCTTCAGTCATTATGCAAAGGAGCCACATGGGTTTTCTATTTAGAAAGTTCCCTTTGGATTGATGCAGAAAAACAGGGCCCGAATATCCATCATTTCCCTCCAGAGCGAGCGGAGTCCAGGTCGTAAGTGGGTCGCTCCCAGCTGCTTCCCTCATCAGGGGGTCCAGGGACAGAGCTGAGGAAATCACTTAAATTCTGCTCTCTAGTAATAATTTTATTTCACTGATTTGGATGCAAAAAAAAAAAAAAGTGGGGGTGGGGGAGGGGAGAAGCCATCTGATTTCCAACCTGGCGCTTTCTAGTCTCAGCCAAGTGAATGGGAGCCAGGAAGCTGCTAGCCAGAGCGGGCTTTGTCTGAGCTTCGTCAGTTCCTCGAATCGCCTCTCTTGTTGTTGGACATCTGTGCTCTCTCCAGCCAAGGCCTGAGGTTGCTGCTGCACGGGACAAGCTGGCTTCGTGTGCCCACATCCTTGGTGCCAAGGGAACAGGAAGACCACCTGTCCGGTGTCCAGCACCTGGCTGGCTCTCTGCCCCTTGTGTGGGTTTGAGCAGCCCAAAGACTTGGAACAGCCTGGATGACCCCTGAGGTCCAGGCTGTGCTAACTTAACCTAGAATCCGGGGAAGTAGATGCAAGGTGGGCCAGCTCGGGGACCTCTGTTGTCACCAGCACTACCCCCACTCCAGGCTCTGAGTAGCTCAAGGAAGAGGGCGTGGTGGCCGCAGGGGTCAGGAGGGGCCAGCCTCAGTCACTGTCTCTTTCCCTTGGAGCAGGGAATTTATCGTACTGGTTGGCCAACTTCCATTTGTGGTGCTGACTTTTAAGGAGTGCAGCCAAAGACGTCTTGCGGGAGACATTCCGAGAGCCCGCCCGGCTCTTGGCCTTCCTGGTAGGGGAAGAGCTTCGAACTAAGGGATAGACGGGGAAAATGGGCTTGCCCCGGGGGGCTCCCAGGAGCTGCCAGATTTCCCCAGAGGTATTACTGGTCAGATACTGCCAGGGCTTCTTCCCGCTGCTGTCCCGGATGTTCACCCGGGACGCCAACCTCTGCACCAGCAGCTTGATGACGCCCTGGTGGCCGTGGATGGCGGCGAGGTGCAGCGGGGTGTACCCACAGCCCGACCTCACGTTTACATCAAGAGCAACTCCTGCCTTCTGTGCTGCGTTGACCAAGCCGCAAAGGGCCGGCAGGGCACCGTGCTTGGCTATCCAATGCAGGGCAGTGTACCCCGTGAGAAAGTCTTTGTGCAGGGCCAGCTGGGGGTCCTCCCAGAACAAAGCCAGCACCTGCTCCCAGGAGCCACTGGCAAGCATCACAATCCATGCATGCTCCCTGGCGTCCAGGGGCACCAGGGACGGCTTGTGCTCGGGTCTGGAAGGGACCAAGGCCGCAGACCTCTCCACATTGGGGGCCCAGGCGCCCTGGGGCCGGCCTGTCTCAGCCACAGCCCTTTGAAGGCCGGTGAGATTCAGTGTCAAGGCGGCATCCACCCTCGGGCTGGACACGGCTCCCGCGTTGGACGGCTTCCGGGAGCGTGGTGGGCGCCTGCTCCTTTTCCGACACTCCTCCTCCAGGTACTCCTCATCCGAGGACGAGAGCTTGGGCCTCCCGGCCCGGGAGCTCCTCCGAAGGGACCTCCTCAACTTGGGCGCTGGCCCGGGGAACGGCCCCTGGGGGTGCTGTGCAAGGCCATTAGCCACGTGCTGAGCTGAGCCACCGGCCCCGGTGTCCCCGAGGCCCTGAGGGCTCCGGCGGGGGCTGCCGGCGACCTTGAGGGCTGCGGCGACCTTGGGAGACGCGCCAAGATGCTGGGCTGGACTCCCCGGCTTGCTGCAGTCCCGGGTGCGCGGGGCCACCTGTAGCGCCTCTTCGGAACCCCCCGGGGACTCTTTGGGCCCACTGCTGCTCTCCTCACTGCCGTGGCTTTCCTGGTCCACGAAGTCATTCAGGTCTTGGAGCGACAGCTGACAACGGATACTACGAAAGACAGTCAGCGGAGGGTTCTCGGGCCAGAACTCAGGGCGCTCCTTGGCCACCACAGCCGAGAGGGAACGCGGGCGATGCGGGGGCTCCGGCGGCGGCGGTGCGGGGTTGGGCTCCGATGGCAGCTGGAGGAAGTCGTCCGGCAGCACCGACCAGGCCCGCACCGGGCCCGCATCCCTCTGCGGGTGTCTGGCCACCCACTCTCGAGTGCGCTGCCGCTGCAGCTGCGAGGTCGAAAGGTGCGGGGAGCCGGGGCTCAGCGGCTCCCGCCGCTCTCCGGGGGCGTCGGCGCTGGGCAGCAGAGCTGGCGGGGAAGCCCCGACGGTGGCGGGAGGCGAGCGGCGCGGCGCGGGCTCGGCAGAGGTGCTTTCTCGCCGCTGCCCCGGAGCCCCGCGCTCGCCCGGGAGAGGCGGCGTCCCCACCGGCTTCTGGCCGGCGGCGGGGTCCGGGAGCGTCCCCAGGCCGTTCTGGAGGCACTCCCAGCAGCAGCGGCCTTGCGTCTCCGCCGCGGCGCATCTGACCGCGGCCTGGGCAGCCGCGGCGGGCACCGGCGCCCCAGAGCTAGGGCTGTCCCGCGGCCCGCCGCCCTCCCCGGCCGAGAGGCCATTGCAACCTGCGTCCGCCGCTGGGACTGCGGCACCTGCTGGCTCCGCCTCCGGCTCCTTCTCGCGCCGCCGCTGCCGCTGGGGCTGCGGCTGCCCCCGGGGCGCAGCTCCCCCTGCAGGGGCGGCGGCCGCGGGCGGCTCGCGGGGTCGCTGGAGCCCCTCCTCCCCCAGAAGGTCTCGGTACCTCCTCTTGAGTACCACGAACTTGGTGCCGTCGGGGTCCTGGCGCACTGCGGCGACCGAGTTGACGAAGCCCTTGAAGAGCTCGCGGCGGTGCTGGCGCTGGCTCGGAGGCGCGTCGGGGTCTCGGAGGAAGCTCTTGAAGTGGCTCAGCAAGGCGGCGTTGGTCACTCGGCCCCCAGCCTGGCACAGGAAGTCCAGCAGTGCCTCCTGGCTCAGCTCGCGGGCCATCGCTGGCTTGCTGGCCCCTGCCCGCGCTGTGCCCGCGGCTGGCCCCTCCGGCGCTCTGCGCCGGCAGCCGCAACCACGGCCCAGCGAGTGTCACCTGCGCCCGGGGCGGCACCACCCGCCTCCATCAGCCACGGAGCCCGGCGCGGCCCGCAGCCCCTGTGAGCGCCAGCAGGGCCGGGGGTCCCCCGGGAGGCGACCCCCAGGGCTAAGACCCCGCTCGCAACCTGGTGGCAGAGCGCCGCGCGGGCCTCTGGCAGCGAGACCTGGCGGCGAAAGTTCCCGGGATAGGTCGGAGTCGGTTTCACCTGCGCCCTGGCGACGCCTCCTCCCCGCCTCCTCCCGTTCCTCCGCCCTCCCGAGCCTCCCCCACCCCCCGCCACCCATCCCAGATGAGTCAGGCGGGTCGGAGCCCTAGGGAGCTCCGGTAGGTGAGGTGGGGAGCCAGGGCGAGCCGGCCGAGAACCGCTCGGCGGGGCGCGCAGCCGCCTGGGCGCGGCCAGTGGAAGGCAGGTAAGGCGACCCGCCGCTCCTGCCGGTCTCTGCCACGCAGGAAACAGAAGCCGTAGACGGTCCGCTCCTGCCCTCTCCCTGCGCCGCCGGAGTTGCGGCTGAAGTCCATGGGTGGGGGTGGGGAGGTGGGGGAGGTGTGTCCGTGCAAATTAACAGGCGCTCTGCGATCTCCCCCAAAGGTGCCTGGCCTTGCTCCCGCTGTCAGGAAGTGAGTTACAGAGCCCCCGGGAAATTCGTTGCCCCCAAACCCGATCTTTCTGAGTACGGAGAGGCTGACGGGGCTTGCTTGCTCCCCCCGGCTGGGCTCCAAGTCGTACTGGAAAGAGGACTCGCTGCCCTGCCGAAGGTACTCGCCGGTGTGGGTGGCGGCCTTCCCCCACCCCAACTCCGTAATGGCCTCGCCTTTCGGGGCAGGCCACATCCCTGTTGGGTGGTTGATTGCCCCTGCAGCTGAAATGAGCAGCAGGGATGCCCCGCGTGGAAGCCCGGTGTGACTTGCTTGCATTTACTCTGTCTGGCATTCGCGAACAGCGGGGATTTGCGCAGTGTGTTGTGTGTCCGCTTAGCGGCGAGGCCCGAACGTCTGCAAAGTGACCCCGCTGCTGCCCAGCTTCGGATGCCTCCCGACTCGCCTCCCTGGAGGGGCTGTGGCCTGCCCGTACCCCGGAGAACTTTGTAACTCTTGTTTTCATTGCCCTCTGCCGCTGTAACAGCTGCTATCTCCCTTCCTAAAAGGGGGGGGGGGGAGATCCCTATCTGATGGTTAGACTCAATCCAGGTCTCCCATGTGGATGGCAGGGACCCAGCGACTTGAACCATCACTGGCTGCCTCCCAGGATAGACGTTAGCAGGGAGCTGGGATCAGTAGCAGAGCTGGGACTGGGAGTCCGGCCCTGGGGTATGGAATGTGGATGGTTGGAGCAGTGTCTTAGTCCCCACCCCCTCCTGAGGCCCCAGGGCCTCCCTCTGCTATATCAGTCTTTGCATGCCGGGGATGCCTGCCCTGGTTTATCTGCAGCCCTCTCCCCTTCTCTGCCTCAGCTTTGCTTTCCTGGTTCTTTCCATGACAATTCACACTGTTTACCCACCCTGGATCTCTGCTCCTTTTTTTTTTTTAAATAAAGATTTATTTTTATTTATTTGAAAGAGTTACACAGAGAGGTAGAGACAGAGAGGCCTTCCATCCGCTGGTTCATGCTCCAGATGGCTATAACAGTTGGAGCTGTGTTGATCCAAAGCCAGGAGCCAGGAGTTTCTTCCAGGTCTCCCACGTGGGTGCAGGGTCCCAAGGACTTGGGCCATCCTCTAATCCTTTCCCAGGCCACAGCAGAGAGCTGGATCGGAAATGGAGCAGCCGAGACTAGAACCGGCACCCATATGGGATGCCGGCGCTTCAGCCCAGGACTTTACCCCACTGTGCCACAGCACCGGCCCCAGAATCTCTGCTCTTCTTGCCAAGAGAGTATTAGAAGTATATCGACTGGAGCCAGCACTGTGGCATAGCAGGTAGGGTGCCCATTCGAGTCCTGGCTGCTGCACTTCCAATCCAGCTGTCTGTTATGGGTTGAGAAAGCAGTGGAGGATGGCCCAAGTCCTTGGGCCCCTCACCCACATGGCAAACCTGGAGGAAGCTCCAGGCTCCAGGCTTTGGATTGGTCCAACTCCTGATGCTGTGGCCATTTGGGGAGTGAACCAGCAGATGGAGGACTTTTTCTCTCTCTTTCTCCGTCTCTCTCTCTCTCTCTCTCTGCTTCTGCCTCTCTCTAACTCTGCCTTTCAAAGAAAAAATAAATCTTAAAAAAAAGTATATTGACCATACAAATAACTGTCAGCATATTTTAGCATGGACCAAGAGACTTTATTTTGAGAATAAAAGATATACTATCTGCTGAGGTACTCCCCAAATCCCAAATGCCTGCCACAGCTGGAGCTGCGCCAAGGCTGAAGCTGGGAGCCAGGAACTGAATCCAGGTCTCCCACATGGGTGACAGGACCCTAACCACTTGAGCCATCACACTGCCTTCCAGGGTCTGCATTGGTAGAAAGCTGCAGTCAGGAGCCTGGAATCGAACCAGGTGCTCTGGTGCAGCATGCAGGTATCTCACCCCGGGAAGCCAACCTTAGTGCCTGGCCTATAGACCACATTAGCTGAGCTTTATTTTCAGCCTCCAGCAGAATCCTGGCACTTTTCCTGAATGAGTTGGAATTTTTGGCTTTAAACTCTCTAGATCACAAAAAAGACTTGGAAGCATTTGTCTTTGTCTTTGGCATTTTCTAGAATCCAAACCCAATACTGTGTTGGGGGGTGGGTAATGGTTTCCATTAATGTTTGTCAGTACTATCAAGTCTTTAGGATAGCTAACTAAATGATGGTTTCCTATCCAGCTCCAGCCTTCCTTTGTCTGTGTTTCCCGGTGTTGACCCTCGGTGGCACTGAGAGTGTGTCCACACCTGGGGCAGGAGGAGTCCAAATGCAGAGCTCAGGTGGGCGCTTCAGAGTGACAGGTGAAAAGAGTCTCTGGCTGGTACTTGTCCAAAACTGGTTACGAAGTAAGGGGCTTGCTGGGAAGGAGGGCGGTGACGTAGATTGAGGTTCAGACTTGGTGCACTCTGGGAGACGAGAGGGAAGGGCAGGGAGGGTCATCAGGGCTGCGGTTGCTGACATCTCGTTCTCTTCAATTAAGAAAGGCGTCGGAGGTGTGCAGCAGTAGAAAGGCAGGGTGTGGGAAGAAAATAAAATCCAGTTGCTTTCAATTTCTGTTTGCCTGGTGATTTGCCTGCACACCTTCCTCTTTCTCTTTCTTGGGGTGAGTGACTGGAACACTGCTCACCTTATCTCAAGGAACATTTTCCTGCCTCCCTCATATACACTTCATTACCCCCCAAAATATTTCTGGAGCAACTCTGTTGCACTGGCGCTGGAGGTGGTAGAAACGAGGAAGTGGGCTTGAAGGGCTGGTGCTGCAGCACAGCTGGTTCAGCTGTCACCAGATGCCAGTATCCCATATGGGAACACTGGTTCGAGTCTTGGCTGCTCCACTTCTGATTCAGCTCCCTGCTAATGTGCCTGGGAAAGCAGAGGATGATAGCCCAAGCGCTCAGACACCTACCACGCACGTGGGAGATCTGGATGGAGTTCTAGGCTCCTGGCTTCCACCTGGCACAGCCCTGGCCATTGTAGCTATTTGGGTAGTAACCAGCGGATGGAAGATCTCTGTCTCTGTCTCTCTCTCACTGTGCCTTTCAAACAAATAAATTAATATGAAAGAAAGAAAGCTTGAAACATTAGCCTCTGGGCACAGGGTAAGTGATTTAGCAGAGACAGGTACCTCATACTGAGGAGAGGTGCGTAAAAGAACTCAGGCTTGGCCAGCACTGTGGCTCAATAGGCTAATCCTTCACCTAGCGGCGCCGGCACACTGGGTTCTAGTCCCGGTCGGGGCGCTGGATTCTGTCCCAGTTGCCCCTCTTCCAGGCTAGCTCTCTGCTGTGGCCAGGGAGTGCAGTGGAGGATGGCCCAAGTACTTGGGTCCTGCACTCCATGGGAGACCAGGAGAAGCACCTGATTCCTGCCATCAGATCAGCGCGGTGCGCTGGCTGCAGCGCGCCAGCCATGGCGGCCATTGGAGGGTGAACCAATGGCAAAAGGAAGACCTTTCTCTCTGTCTCTCTCTCTCACTATCCACTCTGCCTGTCAAAAAAAAAAAAAAAAAAAAAATAGAACTCAGGCTTAACTTAGGGAAATATGGAGAACTTTCCAGCAAGAGGCTGCTTTGAGCAGACAAGGTGAGGAAGACCTTTAAGCCAGATGCAGTGTCCTTGCAAAGTGTGGGAACTACAAGCAGATCTGCTTGGAGGAAGAGGATGTGTGAGGAGTTGCTGGAGCCTGCAGGAGCAGGTGGGAGTCAGGTGACCAAGGGCCTGCAGGTGAGGAGAGCAGGGCAGGACAGGGCAGGCTTTGGAAGAATTCCCCAGAGGGTAGCAACTGAGCCACATTGGGCCTGTAGAAAAATCTGGAGATGAGGACCACTGGGAATCAAGACTGAATAAGGGAAGAGAGCACATTGCAGAACTAAACTGGCTTTAACCTAGTCAGGACGCCATTGAGTAGAGGACACCTTTCCATTTCAGAGCTGTAAAAATGCGAAGAAGTGCAGCATGTTGACTGAGGTCCTGCTTTTAGGGGGAAGACGTGTGTGTGTGTGTGTGTGTGTGCGTGTGCAAGATTTGGGCATCTCTGGAAGGAGAGCTTTCAGCTCCTCTCTGTGGCCTCTTTTACTATTTGACTCTTTTCCCGTGAGAATGTGTTACTTTTTGGTTTGCAAAGAAAGACACTCAAGAAAAAAAATGACATAAGTGAATAGCAAGAAAGAAAAGATCTTTTGGCTGCTGAGGGGAGGTGAGGCTCCCAGGTGGAACATCAGAAGTAAGGGATGAGACAGCTCTCGGGTCAGCAGTGTGTGAGACAGGGGGTGAGCAGGGGGTTGGTGCTGTTTGGTCGTGGCTTCAGTGGCATCTGGAGCTGGCGTGGTTTTGGAAGAGGGGCACAAACTGGCCTTGCTTCCGTGCCTCCCGCCCGGGTAGCTGGGGGTGATTGGTACCATCTTCCCTGGCAGAAAATATGGAAGTAGTCGTTTTTGAAAATCAGAAGGATGGCCGCTGCCGTGGCTCACTAGGCTAATCCTCCGTCTGCGGCGCTGAAACCCCGGGTTCTAGTCCCAGTCGGGGCGCCGGATTCTGTCCCGGTTGCCCCTCTTCCAGGCCAGCTCTCAGCTGTGGCCCGGGAAGGCAGTGGAGGATGGCCCAAGTGCTTGGGCCCTGCACCCCATGGGAGACCAGGAGAAGCACCTGGCTCCCGGCTTTGGATCAACGCGATGCGCCGGCTGCAGCGCGGCGGCCATTGGAGGGTGACCCAACAGCAAAAGGAAGACCTTTCTCTCTGTCTCTCTCTCTCTCTCTCTCACTGTCCACTCTGCCTATCAAA